GAATAAATGCTTTGGTTTGGTGTGGGGCACAACAGATTAACAAGAACCTTTTCCAATTCTGATGCTGCTAAATGTACAACTTCAAAAGTACAACTTCAAAACCAAGTCTGCGTTGTTGGAGAGTTAGAAAACTAGTTTTAATTCTGAGCCACTTCATTAGGATAACCCAATACCTCTTGCTTAAACAATGTTTCTAAGGACTTTTTGTTTCTTAAACTAAAATGAAAAAGAACATTAGAAATTATGGGAATTTCAGGTGCATGGGAATGAGGGAAATCACTAGACCGACTCAGCCACTTCAGTACCTTTTAGACTGTGTGGCAGTGCTGTTGTGTAGTCTCTGCAGCATTCCCTTCCTGAAGAGGGAGAAAATTAATGAACAATGCAATTAGGCACTTACTTAGAGGAGGAACTGAAAGATGTGTGAATAGATGAATAGTGTTTAGATTTGGCAGAATACATCTGTGCCATAATGTGCTCAGGTTTTACAGCTTGAGAAAGATGATGATGTGAGAGCTCCTTCCTCGATTATCTTTTTGCTGCAGGGTTGTTTCACCAGGCATGTGCTACATCCTGACCAAAAGGAATCAGTGTTGCAGGTCACAAGCTCAAACCCACAAAATACTGACTACATCTTAAAAATTCTGATGTTTCTTTTTAAACCTTTATTAGGTCTTTATGTGCTTTTAGTGCTATCCCTTTAAATTTCAAGGTCTGCTCAAAGCATGTTTTCAGGCATATTTTCGGCATATTTTCCTCCCCCACAGCTACAAGGGCTAGGAATCTGAGGTCCCAGTGAGCTGAAATTTTCAAGCTGTCACTTAATGGCACCAGCAAAGAACTTACATTGTCTTGTGACAGTTTATGGAGCTAAGATTGTTTTAAGGTGCCTAGTATTTAATTTAGTAGTAGCCGCTTTACAGTTAAATACTTATTGTCTCAGCTTCAGTAGTAGTCAGAAGTACTTTATAAAATAAATAGGACAGATGGAAAAGCTTCCTGCATTGTGCTATTAACACTAGCAGTTTTTAAGGAAGAAAGGGAGGCTTGTGAGCGTTATGAAAGAAAGGTGATGGTAGTGTGGTAGCATTTGACTGCCTGGTCCAACAGCTGTACATTTCCTGCAGGGTTCATCCTGTGGCATCACTGCATTGACTGCAAGTGTAAGTTGGAAGATAAAGAGAGGGTGTGAGATAGTGCCTCATAGCAGATATCACACTGTACTAGAATAAAAACTAATTGTAAGTAATGATTTGCCTCTGACAAGGATTGGGGTTCCCTGCTTCCATCCGGGGAAGAAAATATTAGCCTCAGGTCTTATATAGTTGATAGATCATATACCCAAATGGGTTTTTCTGGTGGGTTGATGGGAGCTTGGGGGAATCTGTCTGTCAGTAGGAGATGCAGGCTGATCTCTGAGATTGTCTTAATACCATAACATAGTCAGTCTTGTCTAATTCTGTAATTGTAACTCTGTCCTCTGGGGGAGGTGGGAAGTTGACCCACAGAAGTTAGCTTCGATTACTATTAAAAAAATGCTCATGCATTTTTTGCAGCACTTCCATATCCCATTGGTTGCTTTTAGAAAATTGACCAGCTGACACCATGATCATCAGGCATGATCATACTGGGTTCCTTGTTCCTTTCATTGTGGAGATCGCTGTAGGGTTTTAAGAAAGAGGAGGAAATTGAATAGTTGAGTTCCAGCATTGTCTTCTTTATTTTGCTTAACTCTGATTGACATTGACCTAAGGAAAGGAGCCATGGCCTCTGTCACTTGGATTGATGGGCTTAAATCAATCTGCTGGCTCTTGTATTGAAGTGAATAAAGTGGAATGGAGCTGCTGTTTTCCATCTGAACTGTGTCTTCTTAATTCCCTATTTTCTTGCATGGGAATTTTCTAGTGCAATATTTGTATTGTTTCCCTTTGATTAACTTTCTACAACACTCAGCTGTTTTAAAATAGGAAGGAAGAGCTGGAAGATGCTGTCGTCATTAAAAATACTCCCAGAATAATTTCTTCTGTAAACAAGGCAATGGTTCTGTTTACTAAACCAGATTAAGAAAAACAGTCTTCTTAGTGAAGACTTTCTCAGCTACAGAACTTTCAAACACGGAATGAAGCCAGGCACTGGGGGATGGGATGGTGAGAAGACACAAAATTAAGGACCATTTGATGTGTCTAAGGGCTGTGTTAGGTACACTCTTAATGATTGGTTGTTTGGAGCTGGGGTGGACTCATTATCACATCTGTGCCAGGCTGAGCGTAAAACATGGGAAGTTGTTACAGATCCTTATGATCTGTTTGAAGAATGATGCTGACTTCTGGTCTTGTGTTCTAATGATTTTTTTTTATCCAGGCTGTATGAATGTTTGACTTGCAAAGTGTTTACAAAGGCAATTTCTTTTCTCCTCTGTGAAAAATACTGTTACAAATAATATTTTTGGTTTTCGGTAGATCCTTTATGGGCTGCTTTTCCTTGTCTTTTCTCTGTTTTGTAGCTTGGTCTGACTCTTCAGCAAGGTTCTTTCTTACACCGAAGTCAGCAAAATCAGCAATTTAATTGGTTGCTAGTTTAGCAACTTTATCTAAACAGCTGGTTTGTCATGTTCTGTTTAGCTGAAGTTTGCATTGATTGAATTAGGGAGTAAGGCTAAACACTTGAGTGGGATGTTTTGGCAAACCTTTTTAAAGCAGGAGGGGATAAAATACTAATAGTGAAAGGAAAAAAGCTACTTGAGAGTGCAGTGTCTTTTTCAAGTAAATAATAGCATCACTTAGGTTGGAAAAGATCAGGGAGTGCAACCATTAGCCCTGCACTGCCAGATCCACCACTCAAAGATATCCTCAATGTCACCCCTAGAGATCTTTTTAATACGTTCAGAAATGGTGACTCAACCAGTTCCCTAGGCAGACTGTTCAGTGCCTGACAACCCCTTCAGATTTTTTTTTTCCCCCTGATACCTAATTTAAATGTTGCTGCTGCAACTTTAGGCTGTTTTCTGCTTGTCCTGCCACTTGCTGCCTGGGAGAAGAGACTGACCCCCACCTTACTACAAATCCATTCCAGATGGTGTAGAGAGTGACAGGGTCCTCACTGAACTGCTGCTTCTCCAGACACTTCACCAGCTTTGTCCTTCTCTCGACTTGCTCTGGCATCTCAGTGTCTGTCTTGCAGTCAGGGGGCCAAAACTGAACAGAGAGATCAAGGTATGGCCTCACCAGTCCTGAGAACAGAGGAGGGAGTGATCTCTTCCCTTGTCTGACTGGCCACACTTGCTGATCCAGGCCAGGATGTCATTCGCCTTCTTGGGCATGTGGGCACACACTGGCTCATGTTCAGCCAATGCTGACCAGCACTCCCAGGTTCTTTTCTGCCACACAGCTTTCCAGCCATTCTTCCCCCAGCCTGTAGTGCTTATTGATTTGTTGTGACCCAGACAGAGGAGTTAAACTTGGCCTTGATGAACCTCCTCCTGTTGACTTTGGCACATTGATCCAGCCTGTCCAGATTGTTCTGCAGAGCCTTCCAGCAGTCCAGCAGATGAACACTCCCACTCAGCTTGGTGTTACCTGCAAAGTAAGAATCAACCAATCCCCTTGTCCAGACCATATGTTTTCTTTAAAAATATTAATCCGGATTGAGCCCTGGGAACCCCACTACTGACTGGCTGCCAGTTGGATGTAACTCCGTTCCCCACCTGTGTTTGGGCTCAGCCAGCCAGCTTTTTCTCCAGTGGAGGGCACACCTGTTGAAACCACATGCAGACAGTTTGTCCCAGAGAATGCTGTAGGAAATGCTATCTAAGGCTTTATGAGGGATTTGGTACCCAGCATACACAGCCTTTCCCTCATCCTCTGTGCAGGGCACCCTGTCATACAAGGAGATCAGGTTGGTCAAGCCAGACCTGCCTTTCATAAACCCATGCTGCTAGGCCTGATCCCTCACTTGTACCATATGTGTCTTGTCATGGCACTCAAGAATATGAGCCAGTTGCTGTTAATGACACACGACTAAACCCAGTAGGCGAGTTTTCCTCTATTTTTGGAATTTTAGGGGAAAAAGTCTTACTGAATTACTGCAAAAACTTAGAGATGTCTCTAGAAGTTGAGTGTGACTATCTGGACAAATTTGTAGCAATCCTTCAAGTGAAGTCAAGGGAATTGGTGCTGAGAAGTGGCAGTGCTACTTCCCGAAGAGAAGCACCTTTCCCTTGAAAGGTTGGAATTGCAACAGCTGCAGCCTGTGAAGTATTTTCCTCCAGAATAAAGCAGGATAGCGTGTAGGATATACTTAAGGTTGATAAATTCTAACTGGTTCATTGCATGGCTTTGTTACTGGTAGGTACTGTTGTAAAACCACTTCTAACTCTACAATTAAATTCCGGTGCAAGGTATGAGTGGCGAAGAATAAGGAAGTAGTGCCTTGTTGTACTCAAGTGAAGTAATTATGACACTGTTAGGGGAGAAGTGGAATAGTAGGAGGTTGTACCTATCAAGTAAATTTCCATGATAACTTGTGGCTGGAATGGCTATTTTGGACTTTCACAAGATTAAGCAACAACAGTTCATTCATAGCTTCTGATAAGGCTGCTCAGTGTTTAGGATGTGAGCAACACAGGACTTGATTTTTCTTGAGTCTGTCTTGCCAGATCTGTGTTTCTGATATTTCTCTGTTTTTCTTTTGCTAGACTGTGCAATGAAGCGAAAACTCTATTTGAAAAATGGACCTTTTCTTTGAATATTTCTCCATAATTTCACAAGTTCAACAGATGGGATCCTAACTTTTCTTCCTCACTTTGTAATGTGTGAAAATAACATTCTTCTGTTGCTTGAGCAATGAAGTTTGGCTTGTGTCAGTAGCTGAAGACTGTGCAGGCATAAGCAGATAGTTTCAGTGCAGCTTTAAATGTCAAACTGGACTTGAGGGTCATTCAGTGATCCTAAAGAAAGGCAGTAGAAATTTGTGGCAACTCATACCCTGTTCTGTTTCATCAGCATCAGCCTATCTGCCTCCTGCACTGTGCCAATGCTTGTTCAACTGTGTAATTATGGAAACTGATAGCATGTGGCACAAGAAACAGCAAGAGAAGCACAGGCACCTATAAAGGCCAGCTGATTTCTTTGGGCTGCCAGTGGACAGAAGAGTTCTACTATCACATGGCCTCAGAGAGAACCTAGAGTGAACCCATGCTTCTTTGCAGAGAACACACATATGGTAGGTGCAAAGCAGCATTCAGCTCCTGACATTGGGTCTTTGTGTGAGAAACTGAAGTGGAGGGATCACCTGTCAGACTTCTGGTGGTAGAGGATGACTATAATAACAATAACTTCTCTTTGTAGGTTTCCAGATGCTTTAGAGAAAGTTCTTGCATTAGTTCATCTTGTGTTCAGTTTTCTTGTTTTGTTTTTTTTTTTTACATTTCAGGTTTATTAGTCATGAAACGAATTCTTCTGTTTTTTATCCTGGCTGCTGCTGTTATGTATGGTATCCTGCATGGAAATCTGTGGAGAAATAACTTCTACTGGTATGGTGATGCTTTGTTGATTTAGAGTGCAGATGCCTCATGGCTGTATGAGAGATGTGAGTTCTTGTGTTGCTCCATAAGTGTTGCTAGTAATCATCATAAGTGATTGCTACTCTGTGTGTTTGTGTTTTGTGGTTGAGATCTTCTGGTACTCTGAGGAAATCGCTATGATTGTTTTGTCCTATCACCTGTTCTCCTGTGTCACTTTCAAACCTAGTAATTGATTTTGAGCCTGGTTGTATGGAGACGTCAGGACCTCAGTGGTAGGGAGCCTCTCTGAGGTTCATGCAAATAGGTGCTCAGGCGAGGAGTTACATGAAGTGCAGAAATAAGGTGTCCACGTCCCCCTCCACCCCATGCGGGTTTATTGCTAGTTTGTTCCATTAAATGTCTGATAAGTGATGTGGGAGACGCCTTTTCCACATATGGGAATAACTGCCGGTGCAGGGGGCACCCTTTGAAAAGCTGAGATTTGTTAAGGCCCAACAGCAGCCCTTGAGGGCAGTGAGGCTTCACTGCCTCCAGGCTCGCAGGACAGGTGGCTTGGGACCTGAAATTTGGGGGATTTACTAGAAGAAGTTGAGTTTCCATTGGTCTTTGCACAGGTCTGTGACCAGGACTGACCAGACTGTTATGAAGATAAGTTATAATTTTTAAAAGTAGTGGCTAATGTGCTCCCTTTATCTTGTTTATGGTGTACAATTGATACAAATAGCTTTCTGTTGTGGTTTCTATTTACAACAAACCACAGTGTTTTGACATTTCCCTTTTTGCAGGATTAGCTTTTATGGACAGACTTCCTCTGTGAGGGCTTCTCCTTCCTATGTGACTAGTGGATTTACAATCAGTTACAATCAGTAAGTTCAGCAGTTGAGTATTATTGTGGTGGGGTTGTTGTTTTCTTTTGGTTTTGGATAGGTGGGAGGGATTGAGGCTAAAATCTATAGCCTTTTTCGATAGACTCCCTGCTCAGTTGTACCGTTGCATCCAGTGGCTATTGCTGTTATAAACACAGTGGTAAAGTGTTTGTCAAAAACGAATTTGTCCATGTTATGTTTCCAGTGTTTGTTTAATATTTATGGCCACTTTCAATAACTGTCTCTAACAAGCAGTGAATTGTTGTAAGGACATTGGCTTACAATTTTCAAATCTGTGCAATTCTGAATTATACCTGAACAAATTTAACAGAACTTGGAGAGCAACTTCAGTGCTTAAAACTTATTAAACCAGAAGTGTGTTTCAGTTGTTGTGTTCAGGTGTGTGTATAGGCAGCTCTTGTGCTTGTGACTTCTTGGAGTTAGATTTGTGGAACTAATGACCACCTATGCTAAAACTTGAAAGCAGACCTCTCTTTTCTCTGAAGCTGTGCTGCAAAATGCCATCTGTGGGGCTGATGCTGGAAAGCACCAAGGTGGCCAGCTGATAGATTTCACAGGGTGCTTTCTCAGTGTCAGTATTCACATAAGAACTTGAGGTTACCAAAATCAGTTAATGGTCTCTTTGACTTGTGGCTCTGATGTGGTGATTTCATCCTTCTGTCCTTAATGCAATCCAGTGGCACATGTTGCTCACACTGAACTTTACCTTTCCTTCTGGACTTCATATTTGTGATTAATTGGGCTAAATCTCCAAGTGAGGAATGTGCTTAGGAGTGTGAGTCTTAACCTTATTATGGGTGGAATGACTTATGCCCAAAGAATATAATTTTTCATAAAGTACCCTATTTCCTTCTCCAAACAAGGCTTTGTCTCCTCCCTGAGGAGTGATGAGGATGCTGTCTGGAATGGTTGCAGGGGTGATAGAGCCCAGGAGTTCTGCTTCTCTGGAGATGAGCCTTGGTTCTCACTTCTGATTATGCCTACTTTGATACTTGCTGAGCAAAGGAGGTCACAGCTCCCCTTGAAGCAGCAGTGTGAGATAAAAGCCTTTGCTAGTTAAAAGTAATTGTGCTGCAATGAGAAAGTTTCATCTCTATCACACAGGGGGAGGGAGTGATGAAACCTTGGTGTGATCTTAACTCAGTAGTTAGCTTTTACTAATTTGATTTGTCCAACTTCTCTTACCTTGTTTCTGCTACCCATTCCTGGTCTTGCTATTTATTTGGAATTGTTTTATTGCAGGCTGCCACCTACAGCTGTAGAGAGGAGGAATGCATTGGACACTTGTCTTCTGAAACCAGCATTTGAATCTTTATTGGGGTGAGTCTTTGAGAATTGAGATGGGGAAGGACTGGCTGTGCTGATTGAGGTAAAACTGGGCTATTTACACATTTTGGAACAAACACTGAGTAGTGCCCTGAGAAAGCTTGGAAAGTTTAGACCAAGAACTGGCTGAAGGAGTCTTAAACCTCTGTGCAAAGACACTGTGGCCTTTTTTTCCCCCTGGTGCTTTTTTATATAAGCAAATGTTGCTATAATTTTATTACTGTTGTGGGTTTAAAGCACATAGAAGCCTGTAATCTTTGTGCCACTCAAAGCAGACTTGCAGCCTTTGAGTTTTAGTTAGCTCCTGGTCTGGTGAGGTGATCCTAATTCCCTTGTGCATGGATTGTGCCCAGGCTGTCTGGGTATTGGGTGCAGCAGGGTAGCTCTAGTGTTCAGCAGATGGGCAGGAATGGGCTTAGAGGTACACAGCAAGAAGAATGTGCATGCACAGCTAGGACAGTCTCACACATTTTTGTAACTTCTTTATACAGACAGTATGAGCTGAAGATCTGTTCTGTGCACTTTGGTAATAGCCTGGGGAGGTTAAAAGGATTTCTAACCTTGCAGAATTATTTATTGGAAAGGAACCAGAGCTAGAAAAGCTAGAATTGAGGATCTTTTCTCAGTAGGTAAATTATGTATTATGTCTAAGCTTAGCAGCTGTTTCTGTACAGCAAAGCAGGTTACTAAATTTAATATGGATATTTAGTGCATCGTGTCTCAAAGCTAGCTGGTCTTGCATAGTTAAGCTGTGATCCATTTCTTGGTGTGTGAGCTGTGGTGTTTTGTTTTGGGTTTTTTTCCCCCTTTTTACTGTTAGTATCTTCTGAATACCTAGAGCTTAAAGAATGAGGTGGTTGATTTGGGAAACTGAAAGAGAAGGTTTTCTTAGCAGCTGTTAATGTTCTTAGTGGACAAACAAGTCATGTGCTGACTGGGGCTTTTTATGATTAAGATTAGGTTTTCTTATGATTGTATATTTCTGTGTTAGCATTTTAATCTAAGACCTAATATGGGGGATCATTATAAAGTCAACTAGTACACCGAGTACCTGCTTAGTTAATTCAAAGGTGAAGCCAAGGGCATGATAGCACGTGACATGTTTGTGTCCGCTGTTCACTCATTGGGGTGGACTTGGCACTAAGGCAGTAGGAGTGCCTTCCCTGCTATGAGACCCTTTTCTGTGGTTCCTGTCTTCCAACAAAAGAAGTGACCCATTCTTTTTAGTGTGACACTTACAAGGTATCATTCCATCATGTTCTAGTTTGCAGGGAGAATGTGCTTTTGAGGCAAACCTCCTTGTGATCCCCAGACACCGTGCTTCTCATCCATGGGTGGCCCTTATGTGAATGCACTGGGATCCTTTCAGATATCTGCTTAAGCCAGAAGATGCACTGCAGGAGCACAGCCCATGTGGTGCAGCCGCTAAGGGCTGGGACCCTTCTAGAGTTAGACCAGAAAATAAAATACCCAAGATGCATGTAATGTGGACATGGGAACTCCATACTTTTTTACTGCTTGGATACACCCCTGTTGCCCCAAACAATTTACTAGTGTCAACACAGTCATATAGTGTCACTTGTTTGGAATAGGAGTGCAGCTCCAAATCAGGAAATGGTATTTTCAATTTAAAACACCTTGATTCAAACCCTGTTCTTATTTATTCAAATGCCATATACAATAATAACTCTTAATTTTCCTTTTTACCTGTATTATTTTCAAACTTGAAGTTATTCACTGTCTTTTTGGATTATGTATTATCTTAAATACGTGGTCTCATGGTGTAAGCTTTCAATCACACCATTTTAATGAGTCTATATAAAGTGTACAAATAGACAAGTCTTTTTATCTCAATCTTTGTCTATATTTTCTGTTACAAGATCTTATGCTTTTCCATCATCTGTTGGCTTTCCCTGTGTTAGTGGATTTTTTTTTTCTTTTAAAAATGGGTGATAATACGATAAAAATGGTAATAGTATAAAGAGAGCTTTTCACAAAGCACTTGCATAAATTACTAGCTTATGCAGGTACATCATGCAATTTTGAAACTTCTTCCTTTTTTCCTTCATCAGTGTTGACAAAATATACCCATTCCTGTGCGCTAATGATTTTATCAGAGTGGCAGAGTTCCAAGGGAGCAATAAGTTTGAACTACCTTATGGAATAAAGAGAGCAGGTTTGTATTTCCCACGTACCTTATTTTTAATCAGAAATACCTAAATGGTTTGTAAAGCCACCTGAATCTGTGACCATGATCTTTCCTGTGTACTGATGCCAGTCCTTTTGGGGTGTCTAGTAGTGTCTTAATGGTTTCGTTCAGTCCCTCTGACCTGACACCTTCCTGTTTTTAACAAGTAAAACACTGGGTTGAGGTTGCCCCTCCTAGCAGAGAAGCTCCAAAAAGGTGTGAGTGAGGAAGACTGGACCTTATTCAGCTTCCTTCTGTTTGTATGTGGGCTGGAGTGCTAAAGATAATCAGCTATGCTTTGCTAGGAGTCGGTGTGATGGGCTTCAGTCAGCACACCTAAACTGGTTGGAATCCAGAGTCCTACTGAGGCAGAAATCCTCAGATTTAGGCAGTTCCATTGGTGAAATTTTCCTTTTACTGTCCTGGTTGTGACTGGAATACAGTTAATTTTCTTCTTAGTAGGTGGTACAGTGCTGTGTTTGAGATTCAGCATGGGAATAATGTTGACAACACATGGATGTTTTAATTGTTGCTAAGTAGTGCTTACTCGAAGTCAAGGCTGTCTCAGTTTCTCATGCTCTGCCACTGAGCAGGTGCGCAAGAAGCTGAGGGGAGGATTGCCCGGACAATTGACCCCAGCTGAAAAGTGGCTATTCTGTGTCCTGTAACATGTCAATACTTAAACAGGAGGGGCTGGTTGCTGCCTGGGTACTGGCGTCAGTCAGTAGGTGGTGTGCAGTTGTATTCTGCATCACTTGTTTTTCTTGGGTTTTCCCCTTTCTCTTTCCTTTTCCATACAAATGGTAGCTTTTTCTGATTCTCCTACCTGTCAAGTGGTGGAGACTCAGTGGCTGTGTGGCACTTAATTGCCATCTGGGGCTAAACCACGACACTGAGCTGGCTGCTCCTCCCATGGAAAGGGCCACAGGGGGGAATTGATGACACTGCCTGGTTGCTGGACCTGTGGAAATATTTGCTGGCACGTTCCCACTGCCTGTGTTGGTCAGGCCAGAGTAAATAGGGCTGACACCTGAAGAGCCTTAGCCACCCTTTTGGAAGGGGTTGTAAAGTCTCAAATTTCAGAGTTTTTAACACTAACAGTGCACCTTCCTAATCTGGGCTTTAGGCTTTTGATTTGCCTTCCATCAGTGGTAACAGGGATGGTGCATTTTCCTGCACTATCGGGGTTACAGCGAGGAAAACTACATTTGGGAATGAGTTGATACCTCTTCTGACGCAAATTAAGTGTCCAGCAGGAGCCTGCCCACCAGGGGTGGGCTGGGAAGGTGTCTCTGTCTAGCTTTACCACATTGATTGATGTCTTCCCCAAAGATATGAATACTGTTACTGTTCCTGGCTGTATGAATGCTCTTGAGTCAGCTGAAGGTGGGTAGAAGAAAAACCAAAGTGAGTTAGGATGTGTATCTTGGAAATTATTCCAATTCTTATTTACTGTAACTAAGATTTTGTTTTTAAATACAGATCTCATGCCATTTTGTATTTTGAGGCAGAAAAAACTCAGAGGGGAGCTGTGATAAACTTCAGGTTCTTTGGCATCATTGGTTGATCTGTGGCACTAAGTTCCAAGTGTTCTGACTTTGATGTTTTTATGCACAGTGCACTACTGTGTTTAAAAACATTGTGGTCAGGATGGCATGCTTATTATTGTATTGCAAATACTGAGTGTTTTCATTAATCTTGTTTATATTTTCTTTTTAGAGCAATTTTTTCGTTTAGCCCTTTCAAGATTGCAGAACTGTGGCCTTTCCAGTGAAGAAGACAGGTGAGATTGTTTATTTGCTACTGTTTCTCTTATTTGCATTTTTAATATTTAGTACTTACCTGAAAAGGAGTGGCTGTGGGTTTATCCTGAAATTGCTCAAAGTAGTCAAGACATGTAGTTAGAGTAGACTTACAGGGTCCAAGCAGTGTGTAGCTGATTCCACTGTATCGGTAGGCTTGGTTTTACACTTCAGTAGTACCAGCCTGCAAGAAAAAATACCCTTTGAGAGAGCTTTAACCTAGAAGTTTGTTTTTATAAATGTTTTAGAAATTCACCAGCTGAATGCAGTCCCATCTTCCTATAGTATCTTTTCATACTTGATTCAATGTGATCTCCTCTTGCAAATTCAGGGTAAGATGGAGAATGTTTGGGATATGCAGGTGCAAACCAGTGGCTTTTAAGCAGAACAAATCTTAGGCATATCCCTGTGCCTCTGATCTGCTGGCTGCTGTGTGCCCTTGTTCCTACATATGCTCAATTTCCTTTTCCTTGTGGATGAGGGAGACCTAGGAAGACAGGAAAGGCTGTCTGTCCTTTTGGAAGTAACAGGAGTGTGGTATGGAAGGGAACATACCTGAGATAACTTGTTTCCCGTGGATTAGATAGATTAAATTAGATTAAATCTTTAATTAGATGAAATCTCTTGTTGGAAGCCACATCTGCTACGTTTTATTTTATTTTGGAGGTTCTTTGTGTGTCTTGTTTTTTGCTTGGCTTTTGTTGAGATTTTTTGCAGGCAGGGTTGGCAAGTAGACTAAAGTCCTGTGTTTACAAAGTGATGCAAATGACTCCTTGGATTTGCAGTCTAGCAAATGGGCTGACAGCCTGCCAGATGTGATGTTAATATACACATTTCTTAATAGAGTTGAACGCAAATAACGCTGAGCTTGGCTGTACTTTTGTTTTTTTAATTACAGTTATCATAAAAGATTGCTGCTTGAAGCCAAATGTCAGGATCACAGTTTAATTAAACTTGGGTGGAATATGTTCAAACCTAAGGCTTTGTTTTAATACAGAGGTTTTTTTTTTTCCCCCCTACTGTACTCCTGCCTTTCTCTGTGTTTAGTCTGTTTCTAGGATGTTCAAGTTTTCTTTTAAGAAAAGGAAGGAAAAAAGTAAAACTGTATTTTCTATCAGGAGTGTAATAACAGGGTAAATTTATACAGAACTGGCTCATAGAAGCTGCTATTTTATGTGGAGTTTGAAGGACAGTGTCAAATGTTATATTAGAAAGAAGTTCAGGACCTTAATCGTTTGTGCTCTAAAGCAGAGATGCTTGTACCTTTTGAAGTGGAAATACTTGTCCTGTAGATGAAAAATAGGTATTCATCCTTTAAATGTAGGTTCTCTGAGATGTAGATATGGTTAGTAGTTCTGGGAAGTATGCTTTTTTTAATAAAAAGTAACATACTTCAGTGGTACTGAAGCAAATTGAGACCTATTACAATTTAACAGGCATTAATAGTAACAAATCAAGCAGACAATGACTTAATACAATATATTCTTTCTAGATCCATCAGGTTTTGTATACAGCACTCTTAAGGCACGAGTCACTGTAGTCAGGAAGAATCTTTATACATACATTTCACTGAGATATAGTGGCTTTTAAAAGTGAATCTCTTTAGGAGTTAATCCTAACAATGTTCTTCAGTAATACAGAATTATTAGGCAACTCTGTAATACTGTTGTCCAATTCAGCCTTCTTGGCAGAACACAAACTAAATTTCCCTATAAATGTTTTTTAAGGCAGGCAAATATTAGCCTAGATAAGCATGAAGTCTCTGGTGCTTATATAGCTGTATTTGTGTACAACTTAGGTAAATCTGTACACAGTGAGCTACAGAGGTTTTTTTACCCCCAAACTAAGATCAAATTCTCACTTTGTAAAGGTGTGGCTCTCCCAAAGAGTTTGGAAATGAACAGTATCACTGACTTCAGTTTGACTGTGAGTTCAGTTCCTTGCTGAGTGCTCTAAGGTTTCTGAGCTCAACAGTTCTAACAAATGCATTTACACAATCCTGAGTCAACAAAATGTGACCTTTGCATCCTCTTTTTATCAAATAACCTCGAAGGAAATAATTTGCATTCCTCAAGTGACTACAGGGGTGTGTTGAAGGAGTGGAGTCTGAGATCTTCTTTTCTTTTTCCACTGAAACAGGATTTCAGCGGAATGTGGAGGATGGAAACGTTCTGACCTTTAGAGGATACATTTCCATTTAGCAATGTTTTTCTTCTATAGACTAGGAAAATGTTTCTTTTAGCATTTCACCATATAAAGGAAATACACAAGCCAAGGCCTAGCCTTGAGATTGAGGCTTTTGTGCACCACCTGAACGGGGCAGTGGTTTGAGTGACTTAGTACCTGCAGACACTGAAGATCAGTTACCATGGTGTTTACATTGGCATCTGTTTATATTTTTAGTAGATTTCTAACATATAAAGGCAATCCTTTTGTCACTCAGACCTTTCCTACAGCTGTTGGTACAGCCAAGGTCTTAATATTTTTCACTGTCACAAATACTGTGCTACTGAACATCCAGATATTGCAATCTGTTATATTTTACTTGTAGCACAGCTGATGTCGTTTAAGGATATCTAAACTAATTTCTCTTCTTGTCAATATATTGACTTGGAGAAAGGTTGAGTGTTTGGGGTAGTTCAATTTGAAAACAGGAAAAAAAAATCTTATGAAGTGAGGTTGTTAAAATATCTGGGAGTAACAGTCTGCTGAAAATTCATGTGTTGACCTGTGATCTGCTGTAAGTAAAAATCAGTTTATTTAACTTAAGAACCTTTAAATGTAGTTCAGCCTTGCTACGTATTTTTTATCTCTGTGTCATGTGTTCATTTTCTATGATACTATGCTCTGGTTTTTAACATAAACAGTTTCCCTCCCTGCTTATTGTTGTTAGTGGGCTCAGTACTACTGTTTGTTTAAATTTGTTTGACTCTTCTCGTGTACACTTCTTTAGAAATATTTGATCTGCTTGTTGACTGTACCCATTTCAAAAGTTCAAATACTAATTTTAGATTTTTATTGGATAATTGTTGGCAGCTGATAACTTTTTGAGTATGCATTTTATGAAGGGCACTGTAATTCAAAAACTTAATCAAGCTTCAAATTTCACTCTGTTTTCTGTCCAATTAGTACTAGTCAACTTTTAGTCATAAACAAAATCTAGTCTGCATTCAGCAATAAGAAAAAAACTTGAATTTGACTTGAGAACAGGTACATAACTTCTGTAGCTGAACAAACCTCAGTTGCTCAGCTCTGAAGGCACATTTTATTTTGCCCTCCCTGTCCTGAGTGTGTCCTGCTGCATCATGACTACAGAAACGAGAAACCAAAGACCTCTTAATTGTATACCAGAGTGGAAGGCATTATTTCAATTGCTAGAGATTAACTTGCTGAACAAATATCTTAAATTACCTCTTCCAAAAGTTGAAAGGTATGTAATAAGGAATTACTTTAAGTTAGTCTACAAGGAACAGAAAAAGCAGTGCCTCCTCAAAGTAAATGCCAGGACACGATACAACCATGTGCTAATCTTGTGCTTTTTGTCCCTCTCCCTCACTCCACCCTCATCACTTACTGATGACATTTTTTCATCTGATTTTCCCTTTTCCTTCCTTACATTGAGCTCTAAGCTATAGCTGTAAGCAACAAGGTGTAATTCAGGAAAAGGGCAACTTCTGCATTCTTACTCTTGCTGTAAATTGTAAGAGGCATATGTTCATCAGCCTGCTTTCTTAAGATACTTTCAGACTAGATAGAAAAATAAAATGGAAAATGGGCAAAAAGAGTAGAGAGGGAAGTGATTTAGGGGGAGTAGAGGGAGTGAGTGTACTGCAGACAGGATGGAATAACAGGTTTTCATCCCTCTGATTTTCAAGATACCAGGTCACATGAGTTATGGTATTAGCTGGAAGTCTTTTAATGAATGCTTGCCTTCTTCTAAGCTGTTCAGGAAACAGTTGAGAAAGGTATGCTAGCTTTTTTTCATGTAACCCAACCCTGAAAGCTGCATTTAGAGCACTGGTTTTATATGTGTGTGTGCATGTATGCATGTATGTATATTTAAAGGCAGCTTATTTCTGCAGAGGTTGTTAATTCTGTAGGAAATTCAGGGAACTGCTTTGTACATTGAGATGTTGCTCAGTCTTGGCTGGAACCAGCTGTTTTGATTGATGTTGAATAATAACTCTGAGCTGAAAAAACAGATTGGACTATTTGAGGAGAAAGAAGTTAATTAGTTTGCATGAAGTGCCATGCTGGGAATTCATTATAAGTTATAGTGGGTTTTGGGACATAGTTTTGGTGTCCTGAACCTAGAGCAAGAAGTGGCATGGTGCCTTTTTCTTACTTGAAGAAAGAACTAAAGGAGTGGGATGTTACTGTGAGGTGACTTATATTTTCTCATTGTTCCTGCTGCAACCAAATTGAATGGCTTTTGCTCTAAACAAAGAGGCATTTTTACAACAAAAAATGATGTGCTTATTCTGAAAGGAGTTTACAGTTTTACATGTTTAATTTAAACCTTCCCTAAAAAGGCAAAATATATTGAATAAAAAAACCAGCAAGCCTATTTGTGAGCTCCTCCTCCTTTTTTTTTTTTTTCCCAGCATGTTCTATTAGCATTGAAACAGGATGGTAAAAGCTAAATATGCACTGAAAAAACCTGTGGTAACTTTGAAAACCTTAAACTTAAACTTTCAAAGAGCTTAAACTTTCATAAGTTTAACATCTCCACAATACCTATTTTGCATGTTTTTAATCTCTGAATGTATTGTACATTTGAAATTTCTCTCTTGATTTGATGAAGTATAAAATCTTAATTTTTAGCACGTAGTATTTTATAGGCCTAGTAATGGTGTCTAATTTGAATCTGGTCATATAAGAATGCAACCTTTCATCAAGGAATCCATCTTGTTACATTATGACAGCATGCACAGTCACTTGTGTAAATGCATTTTGACTTAGACAGCACCTTTAAAGTAGAGGGAGAAAAATCAACACCATATTCATTTGAAAAGCTGCCATGTGTCATTGGGCTAAGATTTTTCACATGAACAGCTCATAGGCCTGTAAGGTGAACATAAATTTTGCTGCTTTAGTTTGTGTTGGAGGCGTACAGTTGTATAATACTGCAGAAGCACCTTAATATTGAGTTAGCTTTTCCAGACTGGTACAAATTTGAAGGACTGTGGCAGATAATTTATCAAATGGCACCCATATCACGAACTGGTTAGGTGTGATCTTAAACAGCAGACCACTAGAAAAAGGAGATGTGTAAAAACAGTTTCACAAGAGAGAAGCCAATTATGGATTTTGTCAGTCCCTGAAATAGTGCCTTTTTTTTTTTTTTTTTTTTTAAGCAGCCATAGTACATGATAAGGGATTGAATCTGCTTTTTAGGGGCCAAGGGCTGCAAAAGATACAGAATCTTACTTAGAAAATAATCCAGATAACGTGCAGAAGTATCATTAATAATATGAAGCCAAGGAAGTCATGTATATTAAAACTTCTCTTTGTTCCACAGCATTCCCTGTCGACGGTGCATTGTGGTTGGTAATGGAGGAGTACTTCGAAATAAGACATTAGGGGAGAAAATTGACTCGTATGATATCATAATAAGGTAAATGCTATCTCCTTTGCATTTTGTGTACACGGAGCAATGGGTAATTCTCCAAGGCCAGGTACTCTCTCTGCCCTTCTCTAGTGTGTGTGTGTTGGAGCCAAATTAGAAGACGCTTTCTGCTTGAGTGACACACGATGAGCAATTGTGTGACTGTATTTTAAACCACCTTGGCCACATTCCTGTGTGTGCTTGATCCCTCTGAGTGTACAGGAGGGTGAGTGCACCTGATAATTGCTCCTCTGCTGTTTAATGTGATACGTAAATGCTGGGCTGCTAAACTTTCCTGTACCCACACACAGTGTCTGTCCTGCAGACTAACAACACGTGTGGCAGCCGCTGCACAGTAGGAACACGGGGGGGGCAGTCACTGATGTCTCTGTGCCTGTGTCCTCTACAGAATGAATAATGGCCCTGTGATAGGGTACGAAGAGGATGTTGGGAGGAGGACAACTTTTCGCCTTTCTTACCCAGAATCTATCTTCTCAGATCCCATCCACTATGACCCTAATACCACTATTGTTCTCATCGTCTTCAAACCGCGGGACTTGAAGTGGCTTTGGGAGATACTTGGTGGTCAGAAAATAGTGAGTTCAATTATTCATATGCCTTGGCTCATCTTGCCACACATTGCTTCTGTAAAATACACATTTTTTTTTTTAATTGTAGTCCTCCCAGCTGAGAGGGAGGTACCTGGTGCCATGGTTTAGTTGAGGTGTTAGGGCATGGGTTGGGCTCAATGATCTTTAAGGTCTCTTCTAACCTAGTCATTCTGTGAATTCTGTGAGGAGGTCTGGATCTCCTTGTAGTCATTTTATTTAATATCCCTCTTCCATAAATGCTTTGTCTTCTTTCTAATGCACATATTTGATCAGTTCCTCCCACTGAGCAGTATACCTCTGGAAAATGTATTTTTATCCTCTTCCTAGTGTTGTTTGATATTTTAACATGCATGCTCCAGTCATTTTCCACATTGTTTTATCCTGTGCACTTGCAGGAATTGCAGAATAATGTTAAAAGTGACCTCTCTCAGAAGGTCTTAAGTCCAAAATCTTTTTGAGTCTTCTTCATTAAGGGCCAAGTTCAAAGTCATACTGAGTTCTCAGGGCACTGTCTGAGTAAATCTTGAGTATCTCCAAGGATATTTCTACAAACACCATTCCAGTGCTTCAGCACACTTGCAGGAGAAAATTTCTCCTTCTTTCACTGTGTGCCTCTGAGAAGAGTGTGATCTCATCTTCGTTAACCCCAGATAGTTGAAGATGGGTTGAACAAACCCAGCCTGCTCAGACCCTTTTTGTTTGCTGTGGGCTCTGGCCTCTTGGCTGTTGTAGTAACCCTCTGCTGACACTCTCCTGCACAGCGGGGAGCCCAACACAGCATTTGTGGGACTGCAGAAAGGGCACAGTGCAAAGTAATTGAGAATAATAGCAACTTCTGTCTGCCTGTTGCCTATGCTCTTACTAACATGGCCAGCACACAGTGAGTATTTATGGCCTCCAGGGTATATTGTTGGTACATGTCGTCCATCAGGGGCCTTCCTGCAAAGCTGTTTTCCAGCCAGCTGGCTACGGCTGCAGCAGTCCGTTTCCTGTTGCAGGAGGAGGTGTTTTTGAACTTAAGGAGATTAAGCGCTCTTCTTCTTCTTTAACCTCATGCTCTTGGAGTTTACACTGGTTAGAGTTGCTACAAAACTAAATTCAGCTGTTTTCATTTGTTAAAAATGTATATTTACTTGCCTGTCACAGAGTGTGAAGGGCTTCTGGAAGAAACCAGCTCTGAATATGATCTACAAATCGAGTCAAATCAGGATTCTTGATCCCAGCATCACCAGGAAAGCTGCTTATGAGTGGCTTCATTTCCCAACAAGGTTTCCTAAGAAGGAGGTACACTTTTTCCTTTTGTCTCTTCTAGTTTTGTGCAACCAAATGTGTATTTAGAGGCAATTATATGTTTATTACAGTAGACTGTAATGTAGAAAACCCTTTAGGTTTGCATTAAAGTAGTGTGCCATTTAGATGGTGGTTTTAGAAGATGGGAGAATGGAACCCAAAAAGAGTGGCTAGCGTTGTGTGCCAAAAGTACCTTTTTATGGGTTCTGTAATTGGTATGAAATGAAGCTGCTTTCCTGACAGACAAAATGCCTTTATCAAAACTGGGGAAGACAGGGAGATAATGCAGCATGACAGATCCAAAGAGCTTCTAGAAATAATAGGGAGTCTGAATATGAATGTTGGGTGTTTTTTTAAAAAAACCTCAAGGCACATAAAAATACAGACGAAAAACCCCAAACAAACAATGAAACCTCCGCCAAAACCCAAAAGACCAAAAATACCCCCCCCCCCCCCCCCCCCAAACCCCAGCAAACTGGTAATTCTAACTCTCTGCAATTTCATGTTCCTGGGGCTGGGGAAGGACTAGGGAACAATGAAGATATTCCAACCCTATGCTAATAATGAATGTCTGGCAGCATGGTTGTACTTACTGATTTGATGCCAAGCATTGTAATGAGCTAACCAGCAATTTGGACATAAAAATATGTTTTAATTGTCAGTTCTTGATGGAAAAATGTTTTTGATGAAAGGTAGAGCTTCAAGCTGGGAACCTCCCTTGTGCAGTCAGGATCAACCATGTGCTGTTTTGCACAGAGACAGTTTACCTGGGGTCACATCCCCACTTCACCAATACCACCCAAGTGATACGTGTGGAAATGTTAACAGGCTGTCACTGTGAAGTATCTGCCACAAATTTTTTTCTGGTTTACTCTTTCTAATATTGAGCGGATGGCAGGGGGGTATGTTCTGTACCTCTTTCTAAAATTTCTTTCTGTTTTCTGAGCCTAATAGTGTTTTTTTTCTCCCTTACTAACTCAGACTGGAATAGCCATTTTGGTATGTGCTTGCTTGGGCCCCTGGCATTTCAGGTTTTCAGCCAGGGGTGGCAAGAAAGCAGCATAGTAATTGGATGCCTGACTAATCTAAATGGCCACAGAGCGCACATGGCCTCCATGGGTCCAGAAGTCCCTCCTGACTCTTCTGGGGCTCCCCTCTCAGTGGAAGTGGACATTAAAAGTCAGTGAGTCAGAGAGATGTGCATGGTGTCAGCTGATATGTAGGCACAAGCCCCTTGGCTCTTCTCCTGCCTTTGAGTGCCCCTGCACAGAGCTAGAGTCCCCTTCTGCTACCCGCATATATATCCTACTTACTGCATGCCAGGGGTTTTACAGTTCCTCGCCCCTGTACAGCAGTGATCAATCTCAAGCATGCTCTTCCTCCCTTTCCTCTCATCTCAGACGTGGGCTGTGACTGGGAGATAACAGGAGCCTGCGCATCTGCAGTGGCACTGGCACAGCTTGGTTAAGCTGCAGGTCACACCACAGGCTCCATGGGCAGGAAGGTCTCACACCAGGGCCCTCTGTCCCATTGCTTGTCCCTGGGCAGGGCTGGTGCTGCCTTCACTGTCCTGTGCTTCAGCCTCCTCTGCCTGCAGGACATGCCAGCAACCACTGTTGCTTTCCCTGCTGTCCCTACCTTTTCCATTAAACCAGTCTCATGTTCCCAGTGAGCACATTAGTGCATAGCCAATAAGCATTTCTGATTGTTGGTAGAGCTGGGAATAAAATTAGATGTGTTGCCCCAGCACCACTGAACTCTAAACTCAGAAAGTGTAGTGGAGTCATTCCAGGGCTGTGCCTATTCCCATTAAGTAGGCTGAAAATATTTAATTACGGGCAGAGGATATCTGGATATAGCATGATAGTACATTTTAAAAGTAGTTGCTTTTAAATGATATTTTTTTGAAGTGAATTTTATGATAGCTACAGGTGAACAGAGGTAGTTGCAACCTGTGGTACTCCTGATATTTCCAAATAGCACTAATCGTGACATGTAGCATTCCTGCCACAGTTTTGGGATCCTGTTTAGTATGGATGTTGGCGACTTCTGAACACATCTCATAATTGAGTCAAATTTGAGGGGGTTGTAAATTTATGATGTTGGGCCCCTAGGGCAGAAAGTTATTTTGCTAACTGGCAGGAGCCCTGGGCATAGTGCACATTTTAAGCAGATACTATATCTGGAATATTCGAAGCGTTGCATAAAGGTACCAAAATTTTTTCCATAAAAGGTGATAGTTCCTTTCTGTGACTTCAGTTAGACTTTAAAGAGCTGAGAATAGTAACTCCTTCCTGGGGATTTTTTGTGTTGTCATATGAAGTGTTGTCACAAAGAAAAACATTGAGTGCATCTGCCTTTTCTATGCACAGAGTTGTCTAGTATTGGTTTGTCTGCATCTTTTTCAGAGACAAACTGAGCCTTGGGGTCAGAGTTCAAAAAAAAGCCCATGATTTTGTGCTCAGTTTGAGGTTTGACTGCAGCTACTAAAGAGCATATGATAGCTATTTTGGTCTCAGAGAAAAAATTTTTCTGTAGCTAAGAAGGGTATTGGTGCCTGAAAGTTTTGTTCATTTCTGGGGACACCTTTTCACCTTAGCTTCATCATGGTCAAATGAATGAGTTCATCTCTCTCTAAAAAAGCATGACTCATTTACTTCCCCAGATCGTATTAGCCTCTCCTGGTACTAAGGAAGTCATGTATCTGAACACAAGATAGGGCAGATGGTTGCATGGAGTTCTGCTGTGCTTTTGTGAGAAATGCTACCTTTTGGTTAGGTGCTCTTAATTTTTCACAGTTAAAACCCGTTTATGACATGCTGTTCATTTTACATTGCATTTGCTTCCGAACTTACTGTAGGGAGAAATAATTTTGTTTCTTCTAATGGGAATAGCATGGGAAGGTCTGAAGCAAAGTTCTTCTGGAATTTCCCTGCTTTGAAGAAATGCAAATTCAGTCAAATTTGTGTAGTCATAGCCTTCATGCTTTTTTAGTTTGTTGCTATGAAAATTTTGTCATATCATATTCTGTTCATCTGGGTCTCCATCATGTGGCGACTTCTGAACACATCTCATAATTGAGTCAAATTTGAGGGGGTTGTAAATTGTTTTCCAGTGTAGTGAAGCCTGCCCAGTTTTATGAAAGTAGCTGAGCGGAGCAATGGGGAGACTTTCTGATGCCTCTGTGGAGAGAAGGACTACACTGTGGGCTCAGCCCTCAGTAGAAGCCAAGGAATTCCAGGGAAGCCTGTGGGGCTGACATCACAGACACCCCTGGTCATGGGAAGCCTGAGGGGGCAGTACCTTATTTCTTTAGCAATAGGAGTGGATCAACCTGTAAAAACCAAACATCTGTAGAAGACCCAGGCTGCCTGATTGCCCTTGTCTCTGTTCTTAAGTTTGCTGTTCCCATTAGGCTGCCAGGTATGTATTTGTGTGTTCTCTTTGTATTTTGTTGCAGAAACCCAAGCATCCAACAACAGGGCTAATTGCCATTACACTGGCATTTCACATATGCCATGAAGTCCATCTGGCAGGCTTCAAGTATGACTTCACTAACAGAAATAGCTCTTTGCACTACTATGGCAATGAAACCATGTCTCAGATGATGCAGGTAACTAACACTTGTTTGTGCTGAGAGAAATAGAGCTGGTAATTGGGGAAGGCAATTCAATATAGATAGCAGTGTGGACTGCAGGTCAGAAGGGCCTCCCACCTTCTCCTGGTTCAGCTGCTTGTGGGTTAACATTGCTTGCATCTGTTCCTGTCTGCTGTTGTTTCTGAAAAATGTAGATATTGATCGTTGTGTCCCTTGTGCTGTACTGTATTCTGCAGTGTCTGCATGAGATGTCCATTTGTGTGTTGTGTTCAGCTTTGCTGGTGTTTTCCTTAGGCTGCACAGCTCTTGTCCTAGAGACATCTTTGTTAGCACTGTCAGCACATAAGCAATGTTGTTTCTTTTGGTGTTGTCTTTTTCCTTGGCACCTACTTGTACTGTATGTCATAGCTATCAGACTCCTTAAAAGGCAGAAAGAAGAGCAAAGGGGAATGGAAGGAGTTAAGACCTATGAACTTGTATAGGTCTTGCATAGGAAAAGAACTGAATTTTGGAAATTCAAAGTAGAAAAGAAAAGCGGCTCTTGGAGGAGGCTAGGAAGAGAAGGAACTGCTTCCAGGAGGCGGAAGCACAACTCAGCAGGAGCCTGGAAAGTATCAGGAATGCCTTCTCTTCCTTCCTGCTTTGCTAAGGCCATGCCTCTGTTTTCTTTTATGTCTCTGCTCTGGTATTCATTTGTCTTAATCTCTGTATTTCAAGCCAACCCTGTCTTAGCTCTTCATTGCAGTGTGAAGTCTTCTTTGGTCATTTGCCCAGAGCATATGGGTGCCATTTTCTTCCTCTTCCATTTGCTGAAGAGGAAGGGTAGAGACAATGCCCATAGGAGCCTTTCATGTTTTTCTCAGAACTCCTAGATGCTTGCTATTCTGAGATAATTTTCCTCTGACACTGAACTTGTCCTCCTTTGGAGGGTCTTCTTTGCAGGTGCTTTTCTTCAACATATACTAAGTTTGAGTAAGGCTGATCATTAGTTGAATAGACATCCATAAGTTTCCTGAAGTCTCAAAACTTCAAAAAACAAACTATTAAACAAAAATGTTCCTTTTAGTTCTTTAGTGGCAATAAATTGCAAATACCATACTATATCTGTATAATCTTTTATGCAGTATACATATTATATTAATTTTTATTTACAGGATTCAGTGTCTTTAAGTAAATTTACTTTCCTTGTGCTGCCCTCCACTAACCTTAGTGGTCTCCTTGAGAACCTGGATACAGCACAGAAGATGGGTTGCTTTGGGCTTGCTGAACCTAATTGGCAGGATGCATCTGAACTAGAAGTGCCTGATGTGCTTTTTCAAGAACCTGCACTGAGCTTTGACAATTACTCATTTTCTTACTGCTTGTGCTGTAAATGTTCTTACAGAGCTGTTGTTCTGAATAAGCAGGGCAAGGATTTGGAAGAGTTAATAATGGAAGGATTTCTGTGAGCCCACATTTCACCTGTTCTTATCACCAAAGGGTCATCCTTTTCAGTTGTGTCCTTACGGAAATATCTAATCTAGTTTTGAGCATCTTGTTTTCTTGGGAAACTGTGCTAAGCCTTTGCTAAGAAGTCTTTCCCCAGACCTTTTCTGTTCTTAGCATCTTCCAAGTATCCCAGGTAATAGAAAGGAATGGCCAAGTGGTGCTGCTGGTTATAATTTGATTTCATAATTCATTTTATTATTCCCTTACATCTCTTTAGAATGAATACCACAACATCACCGCCGAGCAGAAATTTTTGAAGAAGCTTATAGACAAGAACTTTGTGATCAATTTGACGTGAAAGCTGAATGGAAAATACAAAGAACAATCACTATTTTCAAGATTTGAAAAATGTTTATTTTTTGTATGACATTTTTATTTTTTAAGTGCAACATAACTGTTTACTGTTTAAAGGAGCCCAGAAACCTCATCAAGGCAAAAGCTTTTAACTGAGGGTAATGGACTGTTGCAAACAAAGTTAACTGAATTTCTGTGAAGCTATTTAATAGTGGGGAAACCATGAAACTTTCAACTGAAAGTATCAGGGATATATAAAAATGTGATGTACATCACTTTCCAAATGATTAATTCTCTGGAATACTTTTGTTTCTGATGTTGTCCTCCAAAAGAGTTCCACTGTCAAGAGACTGAGATGACCGGTGTTCATTCAGTAGGTGGACATAAAGTCATGACTATCTTGTCTTCTTGTATGAAAATTGCTTTAAAACTATGCATCTAAATCATTAGTGTGTGTTTTGGAGAAGGGGGAACATACAGACTGTACAGGTTTTGTTCTGCCATACTCCTGAGGAGAGGATGTCCACCTTCAGCCGAGCAGCCACAGCTTCTGCACTGACCATCAACTCTCGGCTTCTGTCTGCCTCTGCCGAAGGTGAAGACCCTTTGTCTGATTTGTGGAGATGTTGGTGTTGACAATGTTGTACACATTTTATAGAATAATAATACTCCCTGTGCTGTGCATCCAGTAAATTTTACAGTTGCTGACTTGACTTAAAAAAGAGGGAATATGAAGACTGAAGAGCTGTCCGAACTACCTGTGTCAGCCCCCATAGCACAATAGAAACAAAAGATTGGACAAACATGTTTATGCCTGAGTTTAGAGTCAATGTTTGTTGGAGTCCTAGTTCTCCAGGACAGCATCTCATGCATTTTTTTGTTTGTTTCCTCAAAAACAGGTGGATTTTTCCAAATGAGGACAATCTCCTTCCTCAGATGTTGTAATACATCAATACAAACAAGGAATACTCCCATTTTTGGCATTAGAGTGTGGTAGGGAATATCCAGGATGTACTTTGGCTGAATTATCATTTGGCATCTGTTTACCTCTTCTGTGTTGACATTTAAGTTTGAAGTGTGTGGATGAACTAAGTCATTTAGCAGTGGGAACTTGCTCAAGATTTTAGTTGAAACATTTAATGGGAAGTCTATATTTCCTGTATTGGTTTGTCTCTGACAAGCCTGTGAATAAATGAAATCTGCTTGGGAAAAAGCTTGACAGCTGTCAAAGAGCAACCATGTGCAGTTCCAGTTCTCTCACAGGACATCTATATAAAATTTTTATTTTAATTATGGCAGAATTTCTGGATGATTTTGTGGTTATCTTTATTAATCAAACCTGAAGAAAAGGCAAATAAGTCCACTTAAAAAAGTCTTTGAAGTTGGTAGGAATACCATGGTTGCTTTTCTATAAAATTATATAGAGAGGACATTTAGGAGTAATGCATACAATCACAATATGAACATAAACCAGGGTATTTGTTATTTTCAGAAAGTGAGGATTGCAAGACTGCTGAACACAATTTGTTTTGCTGCAGCTATGTAGAAGAATTGCCATTTGGGAATTAGGGGGAAGGCAGTGTGGTTTGGAGAGGTGCCACAGCTGAAGGGAAGGAGGCTTGTGTTTTCACCCAGTGATTCCTGAGCTTTGGTCTGTTTCAAGCAAGCTGGACATACCTGAAATAACTTGAGATGTCAGAAAAATCTGTGGCATGAGCTGGGGAAGGATGCAGGTGTGTCCCAGCAAGGGACAGTGTGTGCCATGGTGTCTTGTCTGCTGCATGTTGCTTGGCTGCAGCTGTACTCCAGCTGTGTGCAGGGTGGCAGGTCGGGGTGTGGAGGAGAGGGGATCATGTCCCCAGGTGACACTGGTGGTAGAAATGGAGGAAATCATCAGGTCTTCACCAACTGGCAGAAGGGCTCTTAATTTTTTGTATTTCCTTTACTTTTTCCTGAGACTTTGTAGAGATTTTAGCTTGAAAATCTCAATACAAACACGTGGGGTTTCACTCAAGAAAATAGTGACATTATTGCCTTTGTGTCTCTAACAGCATTCATTTCTCCTGGTTATTTCAGTTAATTAAAAAGGTTTGTATGTGATTCTGCAGCCCCAGACCTACAGTGATTTAAACTCCGGACAGTAGTAATTCCACTGCAAAAGCTGCTGTGGCAAGGCTTTTTGCAGACATAGCAGTGTTCTCCAAGCTGTTGTTGCATAGAAGCCCCTGGGAGATCTTAGAATGTGTTGAGAGCCAAGGCCAGCAGAAGTGGGGGGCTGCTCCTTCACCCTCAAAACCTGTGGTTGCTTCCAGAGCTGGAGCCCCCTGCTCTCCCAATGGCTGTTGCCACATTTCAGCTGCATCCATGTAACATCTTGCAGGAAGCTGTCCAGGAGGGTATTTTTCCAGGAATTGTTGAATATGTTCTGGACACTGTGAGGAGAGTTTTTGTGATGGTGCAGACTGCATCCCTCTGCTTCTCCACCCCTGTCTCCAGTTCCAGGAAGTGGGTAGGGAGCTCTGCTTTTGAAGATGTGGTTATTTTCTCTGCTTTATTTCATCTCCAGAGATAGTCTTCCCACTAATCTCAACTGATTCCTTCTCCAATTTTTCTAGTAGGTTTTCTGCTTTTTTTGGGAGGATGGGATTTGGATTCTAGCTGTAGCAGATCAAAATAATTGGAAAAAAATAGAAGCCTCATGACAAACAAATGGTGTCTCCCAAAATCTTTGTACTTAAAAAAAAAATTCCTTTAGTCTTTTCCACTTTTGCCACATCAGCTTTTTGATCTCCCTAAAATATTTTTTTAAATAATGTGTGGTGTTCTCAATGAATTTAATATGTTCTCTACAAGCATTTATCCATATCAGCTGTTTCTTTTCATATCCTAATAAGCCTTCCCATGGTATGGCTGACTTATTTTTCAAATTAAGCGGTATTTTGAGGGATATTTTTCTACCACTTCTGTGCTCCTGCCAGGGGTGTTGAGTCCACTGCAGTTTTTGTCCCTGGGTGACTGGGTAACATTTTGAATGAAACTGTTCCCTCAGGATCAAGCCAAGAGCTGATGCTGCTGATGAACTATCAGGCATTTGTGGTGGGGTTTTTTTGTTGTTGTTGGGTTTTTTGTTTGTTTGGGTTTTTTGTTCTCTTTTTTTTTTTTTTTGAAAGCCCTGCAGGCCAGTAGCTTTTTTCTCTTCTATTATAAGCAGTGAGCCAAGTCATGAATTTTTCTCCCCACAAGTTGTAGGATCCTGTGTACACCAGCCCTGTTCCAGCACCTGCTTCACGTACAGCATTCCTGCTGCTCTGCCTCAAGGACAGAGGCAGAAACACCCATATGTAGTGTGTTTCTCAGCAGTGATCACAAATTAGTGTCTCTTCTGTCTGGGCACACATTTTCAGAGGTGTTTTGCAGTACCAAAGACTTGGGGCTTTTAGAATAAAACAATAATGCTAACATCAAATACTTAGATAGTTTCTGGGCCTGAGCTGCTATTAGGACTTTTTTTACCTTTTTGCTGTTTTTGAAAATGAAATCTGCACTGAAACTTCCCGTTAAAAGCTATCTGGTTTTTTTTTTTTTCAATCATATCGGGAGTGAAGCTGCCAGTTTTGAATCCCAGGGTGCTGCCAGCTTTATTTATGTGTCTGATAATGGTGTAATTGTGTAGGTCCCCAGTGTCTCCCATCATTTTTCTAGCTGAAGTAAGATGTTCTCCTCCCTTCTTATTCTGTTCATGTTCTCTGGCAGCTTGCTGAATTTACAGCAAAGGTCCTTCTGCATTTTATCTGCCAGCCATCTCAAAATGCTGCACTGTCAGATAGTCACAGCTCTAAGATACCAAACTATGCACAAAACAGGCAGGATGACATGTGTTGGCTGAAAGCTCTGTTTGGCTCAGACTTTCTGGAGGTTTCTTTGTTGGGAAACTCTTATTTCCTCTGCTGTAATAATTAAGGGAAGTCGCAGACTATTGCACTAAATATGAATCTGAGTGTGTAGGAGATGTTCCTAAATGTATTCCAGATATTTCCAGTGACTATATAGGTGATAATAATACAGAATCACAACTTTGATGTTTAATTAGCATGTGGTACTTCTTGTTTCCAATGCCATGCTTTCCTTTTTAGCAATGCTCTGGGGGAAGAGTATAAATACCTTCACTTTTAAGTGGACTCTGATTTTTAAGAACATATAAAGCTCAGCATATGTTTTTGGTATTGGGAAATACTTATTTTATTTGCTATTTGTCTTAAGTTTTATATGTCTTTGAAATGCCACCTGTATTTTGAAGAATTCTTCGAGTTGTTTCAAATGAAATTTTGAATGCTACATATAGAAGGAGATTATTTTCCTGTGAATAAACTGTTAAAGACAGTGACCTCAGACTTATTTTTGCAAGGCTGGTGTTCTGTGTGTGTGTGGATGTGTGGGTATGCCCAGGGCTGTTATCATTCATGTGTCAAGTAAATGGTGTTGTCAGATATGGTTTCAAGTTTTGGAACAAACTTCAGTGCTTTGTAGAGCAAACAGCTGAAAGTTTTTGAACCTAGATGGGCTGAGTTGTACTGTGGCTAGAGATCCAGGCAGAGTACAACCATAGCTAAGACATGTTTTTTGTGGGTAAGATCAAGAGCAGCATCCTTGTAATTCGAATTTTTCGTTGTATTTTGAATCTTGTTTGTCTTACTGTGAACTGGTGGGGGACTGCTAAAATAAGAGATGAAGAACGAAGATGGTGTGCGATAAAAAATTTCAGAAAGGGAAAATGGCTTTAGATAGAGAGATGCTGAGTGCAGTATTTTTCCTTTGTGCAGTAAAAATGAGATGCTGAAGGCTTCAGGGAGTCCAAGGGAGATTCAGATAACAATTCTTTGGCAGAGTAGGTATTCAGTGCATGTCTTTCAGTATGGACAGTTCAGGCGTTTGCCAGCTTGGAGGAAATGCTTGTCTTTGAGGTGAGGAAACCACATCAGGAGAGCCAGCACCTCTCATCCTGGGCAGCCAGTTCTGCCTTTTCAGGCAACAGAAGCCCTTAGCAGCAGCCTCTGTGGCTGATTCCTTGGTTGTCCCTCTGCCTTCTTCAGCTGCACTCCCATGTTGGCTCATGCTGAGCAGTATTTGTCCCCAGGGGCTACCTGAGGGAGTCCCTCCCTCTTCATGTACCCCCCAAACCCTGCTGTGCCCTCCCACTGAATGGGATGTGTTCCCTCTCTGGCTTACAGCATGTTTTACCAGGAGATGGGAACTAGAGAAAAGGGTGTATCTCTTAATTTCCCCCCCTCTATCAGGCTGTCAGTGGTTTCAGAGAGCCCTTGTGGTCTGATAAATGAGTTCAGCAGGATGAATGTTCCTTCTGATAGTTCTGAATGAAGACAGAATTGGTTTTTGGTTTTATTTTTAAAGATATTTAATAAGGTATTTCTTTCAAATCAGTACAAAAATTTTAAATACAAAATTATTTGCTTTTGATGTATCTCATATATTCTGGGAACATACTGAAGTCACCAGTGTCTGGTAAACTGTTTGTCGATTCCTGCCACCATTCCATAAAATTTCTGAGATAAAGCACCACATTATATCACTGGAGTCCTTAGTCAATGTTAGACTGCATTAAACTCTGCATTTAAATAATGGTCATGCCAGTTAAATCCAATCTTAGTTCTACATGAAAAAATCTAGTTCATTTTTGAATCAAAAGCAGTAGTGGTAGCTAAAGACACTGAAGAAGTGATGAGCCCTTAACTCCTTGAACTAGTGCAGCCATGTGTGATGTGCAGCACTGTACAGGGAACCACAGCAAGGTCCACTGCCCTTTGGAAACAGAACAGTTGTTGAGGTGAGATTTAGCACCACTGATGAGCAGAGACTTCATGCACAGAAGTCACTGTCCTCAAGTACAGAAAAGTATTGAGGCCTGCAGGTTCTCCTTGACAACTGGTAACGTATAAATAAGGATTGGAAATCAGTTTTTAGATAGAACCAAGTTCTCAGATAAATTTGCATGATCAGTATTGCCAGTAAAGTTATTGGTTGATCTCAAGCAGTAAATCAGTTAAGCAAACAAAGCTACTTCTGCTTTGCCTAGTCATTGAAAAGCAAACTGATTCAGCTTTTGCTGAGTGGCAGAATAGGTGTTTCTTCTGACAAGCTAAGTGGATTCTTGGTACAAGCACAGAAATCCAAGCAAATTTATGCCACCTGGAAGTATGGCCATGTGTTGGCTAAAATGTCTCAATGATGTGGCACAAATAAATGGGGGAGATTTACCTCCTCTACTTGAGCTGTGTGAATAGGGAACAGAGACTTTTTAAGTGCTGTGGCATTTAGAAGTGAAGCCAGTGCCTCCTGAAGGCACTGGTGACATTTTAGGTCCAGTGACTGCTGGAGAAGGCTCGGGGGGAATGATCATGCTATCAGGATTTCTCTTCCATCATAAATAAATTATTCAGGAAAAAAACTCACACATGCAGGATTATTTTATTACAGGGGAAGGGAAATAAAAGTCTCCAGCTAAGGGAACCTTTGCTTGTCAGGTAGACCAGTTATAAAAAATCAAAGAAAACCCCCACCCAGACAAATAAGCCTCTCAATTTTTTAAAATATAATTAGAGACTGACCTACTCTGCTTTAAGTCACTGTTTTTCGTCTCATAACTATGATCAATGCAACAGGAGTGAGTGACATACACTGATTTGAACTTTAGTACTGAAGTACTGTGAATGAAATTAAGTAAGCATGGCATTGCAGAAATATATAATGTACAGCTAATATGTCCCCCTTGGGTGCAAAACAACTATTTATGAACCTGATATACATCTTTAGATATGTTTGCCACACCTTTTTTTATAACTAGCTGTGCATAATGTTAAACTTTGTATTTATTATTTTTGTTTTTGTACAAGATGGTCAAATGGTCATAAAATGCACCTTTTGTTGTATAAAAGTTAGAAGCAGAGGAGAAAGGTTTTGATTTTGTGTTTGTGTTGGGTGTGTGTGTGTCTGTTTGCTTTACATGGGATACAATAAATACCCTGAAAAAGACGAATGAACGTACTGCCCGGCATAGAGTCCTGCCGCCTGCTCGGATGGCATCTGAACGTAAACCTTGTCTCCGTGCATCAGCTGCACCACGGCACTGCCCGAAGCCTGGTCTAGGAAGCCCTTCTTGTATTCGTCGTAGGTGTACATGAGCGGCTCGTTGTTCTTGTACAGCGCCACCCACACGTTGGCGCCTTTACAGTGGACGTGGTAGGCGAAATAATAGACACCGGGGATCTCGCATGTGAAGATTCCTGTCTGGGGATTGTAGTTCTGCCGGCCGTTGTACAGGAGCTTGTCGAACTTCACGGGCACCCCGACTCGGGGGAAAGGCGTGAGCAGCTCTGCCGTGAATGCAGGCATCTCGTAAACAATGCCGCCAGCCTTGTCTTTCTTGCCCTTGTAGCCGTAGGGGGGCTTCAAGCCGTCTATCCCTGGTCCCACCTCAGGCAGGTATTGTCCCACAGCTGGTGGAGTGGGTGGGATGATGACCGAGGGACCTGGCGGCCCGGGGGGGCCCGGTGGCCCCTGGAGCCCTGGCTGGCCAGGAGGACCGAGCGCCCCAGGTTTTCCCGGGGGTCCCTGCAGACCTGCAGCACCAGGTTTGCCTACCCCAGGGAAGCCAGGGGGGCCGGGCATGCCTGGCTCACCCTTCGCCCCTGGCAGCCCGGGGGGGCCGATGGGACCACTGGGTCCCACGATGCCCGGGATGCCCGAGGGGCCCTGAAGCCCCTGGGCTCCGGGGAGCCCGGGCTCACCCTTTGGCCCCACAAGCCCCGGGACACCCGGCAGTCCCGGCAAGCCTTTGTGTCCGGCTTCCCCCTTGGGTCCTGTGGGGCCCGGCAGCCCCCGCAGCCCAGGGCCACCCACTTCCCCAGGAAAGCCTGGCTTTCCTGGAAAACCCTGCAGGCCGGGTTCCCCTTTGGGGCCGACTGGTCCTGGTGGCCCCACGGCACCCCCCTCCCCTTTAGGTCCTGGGAAACCAGCGGCCCCCGGGGGTCCCATGATGCCTGGCAGTCCTGGCTGGCCGGGTTCCCCTGGTGGCCCTCCCATGCCAGGTGGCCCTACATGCCCCTTCTCCCCCTTCGGCCCCAGGGGCCCAGGCAGACCACCCACACCTCGCTCCCCTTTGGGCCCAGGGAAGCCTGGCTTCCCAACCCCAGGGAGGCCGGGGGGCCCCGGCAAGCCTGGCAATCCTTGCTCCCCTTTGCCACCCGGGAAGCCGGGCTGGCCGGGCATGCCATCCTGGCCTGGTTTGCCAATACCAGGCGTGCCGGGGGGGCCTTGGATCCCAGGGGCCCCTGGAGGCCCCTGCAGCCCCAACTCTCCTGGGGGTCCGGGTTTGCCTAGGGGTCCCTGTGGGCCAGGGAAGCCAACCATGCCGGGTTTGCCAACCCCTGGCAGTCCTACGGGGCCAGGGGGACCAGGAAGCCCAGGTGGACCCTTCAGACCTGGCAAACCTGGGATCCCAACTCCCTTCTCCCCTTTTGGCCCTGGGATCCCAGGGATTCCTGGTGGCCCCTTCATCCCAGGCTCACCCTTTGGCCCTGGTTGCCCCTGCAGCCCCGGAGCACCTGCCTTCCCTATGCCAGGAAGCCCATGAGGCCCTGGTGGGCCTTGTGGTCCAGGAATCCCCATGGGCCCAATCTCCCCCTTCGGCCCCATCTCCCCTCTTGGCCCTGGGGGCCCCATGACCCCTGGTTTTCCTGGCATCCCTGGCAAACCCGGCTTTCCAATTCCTGGGTATCCTTGAGGGCCTGGTTTTCCTTTGGCTCCTGGTACACCATGACCTGGTAATCCTGGTGGCCCTGGTGGCCCTCTTGGTCCAGGCTCACCCGGGGGACCTTGCTCACCCCTCAGACTGCGCATAGGAATTTCTGGGAAGAAAAGAAGAAAGGGGAGAGATAAAAGGTGAGTGCAGTCACATCCTTCCAAAAACAGGCTTTTGAATTGAATATGCTTTTAATGATGCCGTGTCGTTTTGTGGTAGACAGAGACAACTAGTGAGTTACAGGTTGGTGTTGATAATTAAAGAGGATGTTACTGTTTTTCATACTCCAAACTTCCATGTGTGCTTCTGTTACCACAAAGTAATTACTGTGCATGATATGTAAAAGCCATTTGTGCTTTGGTGGTGTTTTCTACCCAGACAATCTTAAACAGCAAAATCTGCATTTTGTCCCACATTGAGGTAGATCAATCTACCTTTAAGAGTTTTTGCAGGAAATTCAGTGCTCTCGTGCTGTGGGAGGAACTCTGGCATAAAAGTGCTTTTTCTGGATGGGCGAAAATAAGCAAGATCAATTAAATTAGATTGTATTAGTAAGAAGTTTATACATAAGGTATG